CTGTACGACGAGGGGGGAGTGTTTTTTTTTGCGGCGCCCCCTCCGGCCCCCTGCGGACTCTGCCACGCTCTCGGCTGACGCTAAAGCTTTGGCACAGCACACCAGACAGGCTGCGAACCACGACATGCTGTCTGCTGTACACGGCATTGATGGTTCTCTCCACCAGCTCTCGTGAGGGCTTGACCAAGCTGGTCACCCTCAGAGATCAACAAGAACTGTCGACGAGCCAGCTCGGGGACATCAAGAAGCGCCTTCCAAACAACGAGCCTCTGTCTCACCATTTCTGGAAAGGCATTGAAGAGCTGCCGAGTTTGAGGTCTTCCGATATCGTTACTTTGGAGGAGCATGTGCAGCATCTCAACGAACATGTGGCGTCCCACCTCAAGAAAAAGACCCCGGGGCCAACCCCTCCTGAATCGGCCGCTGGTTCAAGCGCACAGCAGTTCGTAGGGCAGAAGCGAAAGGCACATCATCGTCTTCAACAGCATCAGCCAAGGAAAGGGGAGGGCGGCATCCAACCCGCCGGCAGGGACCCACAACATCATCAATGCCTTCGCTAAAGGCAGTGGTGAACCGGTGCGTAGAATGTGTTTGTGTGTGCCGACGAGAGGGTCTCGCGCGATACTTGAAAATATATTCAGCGCTACCGAGGTGCGGACAGACCAGCTTATTTTTTCTAGTCTTATGTTTTTTTTGTTTTCTTTGGTGTCCAACATACACATTTGCGTCTTCATGTATGTATTGTTGGCATCGAATGCTCTGTTCGTGATAGTTGCTGCTGTGTGTGTCGACAGAGTGACGTAGAACAACTTGATTGGACAGCTTGTAGTGCGGGACTGTCTGCGTTGTAAGATCGTTGAGTAGCCACATATTATCAGAACAGCAAGGAACGTTCTGTGGGAATGTTCTTCGTGGATGGTGCATTACCCCGAGTGTGTTTCTTGTGGATAGTGCATCAGTCAGAGGATTCATGGTACGTTGTGAAGTACGTCAGCCTCTGTCTGTTGAGTCTTTGTGTTCCGATATCATTGTGTTCTGCTTTTGTGCGTTGGTCGAGCGTCACGGGTGGTGGCTGCGGTGCTGTGGTGCTGTCGGGCTCCCCACCATTGCTGACTCCACCTTTTGACCTGTTCTCCTGGTCCAAGGTCTCAACAATAAAACTTCTTTTCCCCAGAAGCCACGAGTTTACCAACATGCTCTGTGTTGTGAGTATCTCTTTCGGTTTGCGTTAGTGCTTCTGCTATTCTTTGTCTTCGATTTGCGTCATACCGGTGCTGCTGTGAACCACGTGAACGATCCCAACACTTAATATTTTTGTTGAAATTAAGAGTGTAAGCTACCTCGGACCGATGGAAGGGGTTGGACCTTCTCTCAACTGTAGGGACAGAGGAGACTTCCGGGGCGATCGGTGGGGACCGCTGGTGACAGGCAGCGGGACAGAGTAGTTTCTCTAGGAAGAGCCAGTGGTGGTCTCTGGGAAGAGAGGGAGAGGAAAAGAGTGAGAGACGAGGGGGAAGACGAGGTGTGCACAGCACACCGATCCTCAGCCCTGTCGACGCAGAACCAGCCTGACGTGGCGTAGTCTGCGCGGGCGCGGTGACGCGCACAGCATCGGCACGGCCGGGGCATTATCTCCCCGGACGTGAGAGGACAAGACAATATGCCGGGCAGTGATGTCCGGGCGGTTGCAGAATGTGCAGTAGCCGGTCATGCGCATACATACAGTGACATACATGCGCATGCGGGCCGCACGGAAAGATCCGCAGAACAAGCGGAGGAACAGTTAGACAGAGGGCCTCATGTGGAACCCATGTGGCAGACAGACCAGTGACTCACATCACCCCCCAGTTTTGGTGGTGTTAGAGCTCGTACTCCACCAACACTCAAGAGCGAGGAGTTCTGGTTCGCTGACAAAAAGTTTCACTTACATTAAATTGACTTCACTCAACGTCAATCCAACGACGACACATACATGGATGTACGGACAACAGTAGTGCCGGAGGTAAAGCCGTGAACGGGGTATNCTCAAGAGCGAGGAGTTCTGGTTCGCTGACAAAAAGTTTCACTTACATTAAATTGACTTCACTCAACGTCAATCCAACGACGACACATACATCGATGTACGGACAACAGTAGTGCCGGAGGTAAAGCCGTGAACGGGGTATGTACCGGGGTTGACGAAAACACCGTTGTTAGTGTTTGGGCAACAGACAAAATTATCACAGGATCGATAAGGACAGAGTGATGGGGAGTACAGAGTATATCGCAATGCATTTCTGCGTTGCGGCCTGCAGGGCTGACAACTCGTACAAGACAAAAATATTTATAGTCGCGACATATACTATGATTCTTGCATTTACAAATCACAGAGTGAGGCAAGATCCTGGGAGACAAGCATGCGCAGGGCAACGTTGCGTACCGTGGCCAGACGAGATATGGCACGCGACAGGGCACATGAGGTCACCGAAGTGAGACATAGACAGCATGGCTACATCATTGCGGTGATACAGTGCGCTAGTTAACAACCATCTTGTAGGCTGGTCAGAGCTCTTGCGCATAACGAAATGCGGGTTATCAAGCTAGGCATTGCGTCAACAATGACGGGAGACAGGACAGACGTGTATTGACGTTGGACATGACAAAGGAAAAACAGATTGATTGTCGCAAGGCCGAGAATCGATGAAACACAGGACACATCGAATTCATCAGTATGTACACACTGCGACAAGCAGTCGTCATCAGCGACGCTTGTCCGCGATCGGAGAGAGGCGAGGCTGGAAGAGACAAGGGCGTGTGTGATACCCTGGAGGCAAAGATGTTTGGAAATCGTTATTAATGATCCGTCGTTGGTCTCTGGCGACCCCCCATCTGCTAAGCTGCAAGTAGTACGAAATGGTTCCATAGAACGACGAAAGCAGAGTGGGACATGGTTCCCGACATAAAAACAAAAATCACACCAAGACAACGCGGGAAAAAGATACTAACCAAAACATCATAGACACGAAGAGCGGTGGAAACAACGCTCGATTCACACTAAAAGAATGCAGGCAAGCCTCTGTCGGTACGTCGCGTGGAGACGGAGTCGAATACCAAATGGCGCCCATCTTACTGGCAGTGCGAGTGCTCCAGCGCATATTAACAATGCGGGGCGTCAAGTGATGTAACGAAGTCGAAACACGGGACGTGAACCAAAGGGACGAGTATACACATCAATGAAGTTGCCGGGCGGCGTGGAAACATGCGGCCGGGAACTAAAACAAAATATAATAACGACAAGGCGTGCGCGGTACTTCGCACGGGTCCCAAATGAAAAATCATGGGCATCAGGAGAAAAGCCATGTGGGTACGGACTACCCCCGAGTACGCACAGGAAAACATGCTACTACTCGATATTGCCGCAGCAATAAGAAAAAAAAATAGAACAACAGACATCACAAGCACGCGGGCGACGACCAAAGGTTGTTGCCAAACCGATGGATGGATGGACGGCAGACCATTATAACAAACGGTGCTGGACAAGATTGCGCAGACAGTAAGCCCATATTAAGTGCTAGCGGCGGAGGATGAACGGACGTTCCTCCGAGGTGGGGAAAATGCTGAGGGATCTTGGGACAAGATTTCGGCGCGGTAGGATGCAATCATTTCGGCACATTGGGGAATAGCACGGTAGTGGCGCCAGAGACCCAATTGTGACGAGTAGTCTTTCAACTTGAGGTGGTACTGGAAGTTGTCCAGCGAGGCTGCTCCTACCCCCCGTTTATGACCGTCAATAAGTTCGATGGTGTACGGACCAAGGGTGACGGCGGTTGTGGAACCATCTAGATCCGGCAACGGGAGCGTTGTTCCTAAAAACAGTTCATCGAGTGTTTCAGGGTCCGGGACCGGAGACGAAGTAGGGGCGATGTACGGTTTCATGCGACCCAGATGGACGGTGGTTTCGGCCGGCTCGTTAGGTTTCGAGACACGATAGATGACGGGCGAAAGTTGGGCCCGGACAGTGTACGGACCATGCCAAGGGCTAATGAGCTTGGGATTGGGTCCAGCCGATTCGGTGTACGGACGATGGACAAGTACTTGGTCACCGAACTTAAAGCTAGGGAAGGACAGTTTCTCATTCGCATCCGCTTGTTTAGATGAGCGTTCTTAGAGGTTGCAGCGAGCTAACTCGTACGCTAGTTAAAGATTCTCAACGGTACGGCGTGAGTAATCGAGGCGGCTCTGCGGAGCCGGAGTAGAGGGGACACCGAGAATGAGGTCGACAGGAAGTTTGGCCGAGCGACCGAACATGAGATAATGAGGAGTCTCCTGTAGGGTCGTACGCAGTATTGTGCGCAAGTTGGACAAACGGCAACAGGTCCGACCAATTATCACAAGCCAGGTTGCTGTACATAGCGAGCATGTTGTGGACAGTACTATGGACACGCTCAAGGACAGAGGTACCTTGACGACGATACGCGGCGGTAGGNCGTCTTTTGATTTGATGGGGATCAATATGACGAAGCGCGTGAGATGGTCAATGACGGACAGGATGTAGGGGTTTCCTTCGGACAGTGACTTGTATTCAACAAGATCTACGGCTACGCATTGAAAGGGTTGCGTTACTGGACGATGACCGATAGGCAGTTGAGGCGGTCGGTAGGACGTTTTTCGACGTTGACATGATTAGAAACTCTGGACGTGACGAGTGATATCAAAGTGCATAGTTGGCCACCAGAAGCGGTCGCGAACTTTGTCGAAAGTACCTTTGAAGGCTAGGTGGCCTCCAGAGGAGGGTAGGTCATGGCATGAGGAGATGACAAGGGTTCGTAGTGAGGACGGGACCACGAGTTGATCGCGGAAGTGAGCCCGACGACGTAGGTGGGCTGGGATGTACGAACGACAAAGCAAACCTTCATGAAGGAAAAATTTGCTCATGCTAGACTTAGACTGGTTCGAGGGAACAGGGGATTTTGCGGGAGAAGCAAGGTAATCGAAATACTGGCGGAACTCGCGTTTTTGGTGATCCAACAGCTTGACAGAATCGACTACCGGGAAGACGGAGACAGCACTCGAAAATAATTCGCGGTCGCTTTCGACGAGCGCGGTTTCATCGAGGTTGTATGAAGACACTTCGTAATCGCGAGGGACAGGGGGACAAAATGGTTTATCGTCGGGCACGTTGCGACAGATGGCCGCAAAGCGCGGTTCGGAAGGCACATGATCGCCGTTGACCTTGCTAAAAATACGGGACAGAGCGTCGGGGACAACGTTGAGCTTCCCCGGCACATGTTTGATAGTAAAATCGTAACTCTGGAGTGCAATAGCCCAGCGCGTCAACATGTTGGACGTGTCTTGCATGTGGTACAGATACGTAAGTGCTTGATGGTCAGTGCCACACGAAAAATGGCGGCCCCAAAGGTACGGGCGCCAGTGGGTGAGAGCCCAGACAACCGCAATGCATTCTTTCATGGTAGAGCTGTAATGGCGTTGGCCCTTAGAAAAACGTTTACTGTAAAACGCGACGATATTGAGTTCTTTACCGTCGTCAATATCATGGGATGGTTGGGCGAGGAAAGCGCCTACGCCTTGTTCAGAGGCGTCGGTGTGAACGGCAAATTCCCGAGAAAAATCGGGAAAATGGAGAACAGGTGTAGAGGACAGGACTCTCTTGACATTTTGGAAGGCGGCATCTTGGGCCGACCCCCATGCTTTTTTAAAACTAGCACGTTTGACATAATCTTTTCGAGTGAGTTCGACCAGCGAAGCAGTGACATCGGCGTAATCTTTGATGAAACGTCGGACAAAATTCACCATGCCTAGGACAGATCGGAGATCTTTGATGCAGGTGGGAGTGGGCAGGTTGCGAATGGCATCGATACGGTCGGTGCTGACCGAGATACCTTTTGCGGAGATGACATGACCCAAATAGTCGACTTCTTTCTGACTGAATTGAATTTTCGACGATTTGAGCGTGAGCCCTGCTGCTTGCAATGCTGCGAACATTTTCTCGAGAGATGACAGATGAGCTTCGAACGTGTGATTGATACAGATTTAATCGTCCATGTACGAAAGACCACCGGAGTCTGGACCTAGATGACCTAGAGCTAGAGACATGACATGTTGGAAAAGCCACGGTGCGTTCGCTACTCCAAACGGCATACGCTTGAAACAGTACTTGCCGGTAGGGGTGACGAATGCAGTACGGTCGACGTGCTCCTCTGCCACGGGGATCTGCCAGAAGGCGCTGAGGATGTCGGCGACGGTGATGTAGAGAGCTTGGCCGACGGCATCCAGGCAGGACTCGAGGTTAGGCATGGGCCAGGTTTTACGGACGATGTGGCGGTTGAGGGTGTGGCGGTAGTCGACGCAGAAACGGGGACTGCCGTTCTTTTTAGCGACAAGTGTGCATGGTCTTCCCCATGCGCTGGTCCGTTTTTCAATGATACCCCATTCGAGCATTTCGGCGACACATTTGTCGGAGACAGTGGCTACGCGGGGATTCGGACGGTACGGCGGACGATCGACAGGACGCGTGCCTGGCGGCACGGGGAACGTGGCTTCTGCAATGGTGCAGCGGCCGAGTTCGGACATTGACAGAGAAAAGACAGGACGGTATTTTGCGCACAAGTCGAGGACAGCTTGTTGTTGCTCGTTGGTGAGCGTTGTGTTGTCGAAGGCCTTGGACAGAGGCTCTTCGAGTTCGGACTTGGCGTGGCGAATTTCGTCGTCAGTGACGGGTGTGTTCGCGACAGAATTGACATGGAGTTGGTCGGGTTCAGTGATAGTCACTGTGGACAATTGACCAAGACATAGGCCATCATAAAGACGGACGCCATCGGCAGAAGGATTGGCGATTTGGACAACGACAGATCCATCGGAAGCGTGCCATGTAGCTAGAGTACGGGCAACGACAATGTTTTGGAAGGGACTAATAAGTGTTTCGTCGTGGACTAAGTCTTGTTCGGCGACGATCCGGGGTTCGACAACGACGGTACAATCTTCCGGTGGACGACAATCAGTGTAGGCAACGGCAAGAGCCTCACGCATCNCTGTAGTCGAACGGTGAGACGGACGTGTAGTTCAGTTTTGGGCACGCGTACGGTGCTCAGGGATGTAGTAGTACCTCTTCGGGCTCTTGTACACCTTTTTCTTGCTACGTGTGCGTGTTATTTAGATCCTCAGATGGCTCCAGCACTTTCGTGACCACGGGCCGAGAGTCTTTGCTAGATTTTGGCATTTAGCAACTGGCATACGGTTTAATGTGAAGTCAACAACAACAACAACAACAACAACAACAACGCGCATCCGCCCTATTTCCCACACGCTGAGGGATATCTCGGAACATGATATTGAAAATGGCTTTCAGTTGTTGTTGTTGTTGTTTCTCACATTAGCTCTATAGTCCACGAAAAATGGGGAGCCCGTGGTCTCAAAACCCGGCACATACGACGCCGCGAGAAAACAAAAAGTGTATTTCCCGCGTACCGGAGTGATCCACAGCACACTGCGAAGGAGCTGGTCACGATCCTCAATATGAGCACCTCGAGGCTGCAATTCGAAGACCAGCACACACCTGATGATGCATGCAACCACGACGGACACGCGTCATTTTCGTAATAACTTGAACCTCTCACCACAAGACCATCTACGCTGCGGGTGTACCTCAAAAACTAACTGCGTTTCGGCCACCTGCTGCTGCGCAGATTCCTGGAACACTCAGAGATTGACCATGGGCAGGTAGCGGGACAACCATTTTCGAACATGATGCAGGGGGGCGTCCAACACCCCCCTCCTATGTTGTTGTTGTTGTTGTTGTTGTTGTTTCTCACATCAGCACTACAGCTAGTCCACAAAAAATGCGGAGCCCGTGGTCTCCAAACCCGGCACATACGACGCCGCTGGGAAACAAAACAAAACAGGCCACAAACCACTCGGAAAAAGAAAAGAAAATGATGAAAAATAATTACAGCTACCGCACCGACCGTTCGAGCATAGAGCCCTCGGAAACCGATCAAAATGAAACAAAAACGAATATATCAAAAACGAAAATATATATTGGAGGACGCTTCCCACACCCGCCTAAAGAAAAAACCGAAGGCTACCGTACCAGCACCAGGCACTACGCACCAAGGCATGGGAGTAACGGAGCAAACATGACAAGAGGCGGCAGATGTACAAAAAACATAAGCAACAGCAAAAGCGAGATCAAGGTACCCAACACAGCAGAGTAGGCAGGGAGGACATGAAAGAAAAGAAACACAGCACATAGTCCGAAGGCAATGCAACGGACACATGTGACCCCGTTGGGTCGTCTAACTGGCAGAATTTGAGGATAGGGGCCAGACGGGCAGACGACAGAATCCGATGGCGGGAGAACAAAAAAAAAAAAGCAACTAGTCTATGTCATATCATCAACCACAGTTAGTGCGCCCCATCTTGCTCAGTGTTGCCTGGGAGAGTAAGTGATGGCGAGGGACTGAGAGTGGAAAGAAGAACAAGGAATCGAACTGAAACGGGGCTGCGAAAACTTCATACAGTGGTTCGATACGCTCCGCACGGCAGCGTCGTCACAGGTGAGCGTCCTGTGCGTGTCTATAACATGCACGTAGCGCCTACAGGCATAGCGTGTTGGCTGCGTAGGAGCTCCTATCCGTGGTAACGCGAAATGTTACGTCATTGTCCCTCAGTTTCTGACGGCGGGCGGGTATTGAGTATCGTCTGGGCGGGAGTTAATCTAGCAGTCTTGACTCTGTGCCAATTGAAACCATTGGAGAGAAAACAACCTCCTGAAAGGAAAGACACGCAGTGGTGGCGTGTTGGGTTTGTGGTTGTTTTCCATTGAGGTCTTTGAACGGTTACACAGGCTCCTTCCCACACTGTACATTTTCGTTCCTGCACTGTCTAGAAGCCGAGATAAATATAAGTCTTTTCATGTATCTACGTTGTTCGTCGTAGGCCTTCCACTTTCACTTTCGAGAAAGGTGACTCCCACCGCCAGTCTTATCATCCATCCAATCCACGTTTCGCTTCACCAAACATGCTGGTTGTTCACATCCTCCCTTGCAGAATTTCGCTGGGTCTCAGACGATTGGTCTTCCCGTTTCTCCTTGTATGCTTGGGCGGAGAGTTGTCCGGGTGTTGTGGTTCGCTGTTGATGTGTTAGAATACTAAAACCGTTCCGGTCTCGGTTCAGTACCTTCTATTGCCGGCTATGGTGCAACTTTTGCGCATGGCCTTGTCTCTGCTTGCGTTGGGAAGTACCAAGATTGAACCAATGTTGTACCTCTTTCTCTCCGGCCCGTGATGGTGACTCCTAGTCCCAGTTGTTATTCCTCGCATAGTGCGCAAAGGGAGTGGAGGACTCCAGAATATCTGTCGTTGATTTCTATTGACTTGCGGCCCCCTCGGGGCCAGTTTTTTGAGTGTACCCTTTTAGCGTAAGTTGGCCTGCGACCACGGGGATTGACCGTGTCGACTGTTGGATCGGTACGGACATTCGAAGATACTGGATAGAGAACGGATCGGAACGGTTTTTAATGTCCAGGCAACAACAACAACAAACAACGAAGTGGATGAGTTCCGTGGTCAAAAGCCAACTATTGTTGTTGTCGTCACAGTAAAAACCGTTCCGATCTCTCCCTACCCAGTACCTTCGTATGTCCGTACTGATCCAACACTCGACGCGGTCGATTCCCGTTGTCACAGCTTAACTTACCCTAAAGGTACACTCATATGAACTGGCCCCGAGGGGTCCGCAAGTCAATAGAAATCAACGACAGATANGGAACGGTTTTTAATGTCCAGGCAACAACAACAACAAACAACGAAGTGGATGAGTTCCGTGGTCAAAAGCCAACTATTGTTGTTGTCGTCACAGTAAAAACCGTTCCGATCTCTCCCTACCCAGTACCTTCGTATGTCCGTACTGATCCAACACTCGACGCGGTCGATTCCCGTTGTCACAGCTTAACTTACCCTAAAGGTACACTCATATGAACTGGCCCCGAGGGGTCCGCAAGTCAATAGAAATCAACGACAGATATTCTGGAGTCCTCCACTCCCTCTGCGCGCTATGCGAGGTAACAACTGAGACTAGGAATCACCATCGCAGGCCGGAGAGAAAGAGGTACACCCCCTTGGTTCAATCATGGTACTTCACAACGCAAGCAGAGACAAGGCCATCTGGCTCAGAAGAAGAGAGAAAAACAGAGAGGAACAATGAGAAAAAGAGAAAAAGTGAAATAATACGCAAATAAGAAAACAGAAAACAAAATGGAAAACAGCGAGGACAACAGGGGACCAGGCCGAAAATATCAAGAAACAAGAGAGAGGAAAAGCCACACAGTGGAGAGACCACTAACGAACAAGCAAACACGCAAACATGGCCACCAACCAGCGATACAGGGAAGCGTTCCCAGCTCTCCTTTTATTTTATTTTGATCGGTCTCCTCGACGCTCTTTCTCGTTTGGTGCGGTAGCTGGTCTTTCTTTCTATCATTTTGTTTCTCTTCCGAGTGGTTTTTGTACCCTATTTTTTTCTGTTTCTTCGTGGGGTCGTGTATGCCGGGTTTTGAGACCACGGGCTCCCAATCTTTTTTTTTTTAGAGCTAATGTGAGAAACAACAACAACAACAATATTGTAATGCCACGTCATCACTGGTGGGGGGTTGTTTTTTTTCTATTTTTTTGCGAACACTCGGGCTAACGTGTTAGTTACCCCGGTGCTTCCCCTTGTTTCCCGTAGAGTTGTCTTCTTGTCCCGAAGCGCTGTGGCCCTCCATCTCTGGACTCTCTCCTTTCCTCTCTCTGGGGCATATCTCCACGGCATATGGTCACTCCGCCACCCTCACCGTGCTCTCTGCTGCTGCATATCCCCGGTGTCCGAGCCGGGGCGTTAGGATCCAACCTCATTTTGCAAATATCAAACCTGGCGGTTCACGAGCTACCCCGATCTCACGACAGCAGTAACTCCCAACCGTCAAACTCAGGACCCCCCTCTCAACGGTGTTAGGGACCGTATATCAGTCTTTGCTGGGTGGTCTTTCGAGGTCTTGATACACTCGCGGAACCTCGCTCTACCCCAGGGACGGGAGGGGCAGGCCGAGGAGAGCAATTTGTGGTGGTGTCGGGAAAGAGTTTCAAACGTCAAATCCGTACAAATTCAAGTAGGTGAAGTAGGAAGAACTTTCGAGCATCGAGCACACCACACTTTAGTACTGCGACAGGATTAATCGCGTGTATTGGTGAGGCCGCCAAAGAAGTAGTGTGGATAGCCGCGGTACGGCAGGCAGTGTGCACCCACGACCAGCCTTCTCTTTTGGTTAGAGCCAAGGCTAGAGATTACCCAGATTGCTGGTAGTTGTGGTGTTTATGTGCCTCTTTTTTTCCTGCGTGTTGTCTTGTAACGGTACGTCGATTTTTCCGGCCTCGTTTCTCTTTTCTTTTCCTTTTTTCTTTATCTTTTCATCACCCTTACTTTTATTTTGATCGGTGTCCGAGGGCTCTTTTCTCGAGCAGTAGGTGCGATACCTGTTCTTTTCTTTCTTTCGATCATTTTGTTTTCTTTTTCCGAGTGGTTTGTATCCTATTTTTGTTTTTTGTTTTCTCGCGGCGTCGTATGTGCCGGGTTTTGAGACCACGGGCTCCCCATTTTTTGTGGACTATAGAGCTAATGTGAGAAACAACAACAACAACAACAACTGTCCTTTTTGATTATTTCCCGGATGACCTTTCGTTCTCTGTCTGTGCAGTACCAAGATTGAACCGGTGGATGTACCTCACTGTTCGGCCTGTGATGGCGAATTTTAGATAATTTTTGCCTCACACAGCATGTCTCATGCTAGACAATAGTCTGTCGTTGTTTGACGATACTCCTGTTGGCTTGCGGACCCCTGTCCGGTGTATACTATCCTGAGCATATATGCACATGTAGGAAAGTTAGCCTTGTGTTTTTGGTCTTCACTTCATATCAGTGCTCACAACAACAGTATTGCCGTTTGCTCCAACCCGTGGTCATACAGCAGGGCCCCTCTCTACCGTCCCCTCCTGCGGTAAATCACCTTCGATTGTTCATGCGAGAAGAGTTCAGCACTCTCTTCCCTCTGTGTGCACACAAACTAGCGCTATCCACTAGGCCAGGAACGAAAGTGAGAGACAAACAAACTCGCTTTGCAAGAAAAGGTCAAATATGACGTGACTCGAACCCCTGACCTGACTTCGAGACGGTGTCGAGAATACCCACCAGACCTTCGGGGCGACCGGATGAAGACTGTGATCACGGGAACCGCACGGTCAATTGTTTGATTGGAACGCACAGACAGATGCAGGTGGTGGGTTGTTGACTTCATATTAAACCGTATGCCAGTTGCTAAATGCCAAAATCTAGCAAAGACTCTCAGCCCGTGGTCACGAAAGTGCTAGAGCCATCTGAGGATCTAAAGAACACGCACACATCGCAAGAAAAAGGT